CCACGCTTGGCTGAGCCCAAACACTGGCCACAGTGGGGCCTGGCTCAGCCTGCTCTGCACCTTTGGCTGGGAAGAGCATCATCTCCAGGGGCTCCTCTCCAGGGAGAGGAGGAAGTGGAAACAAGTGGGAACACATTGCCATATCCTTCCTGGGGGAAAAGGGGATGGCAGACACAGCCCATGGCTCAGGGGGGGACAAGGGCAGGGCAGCCTCCATGCCACCCTGCACTGAGGCTGGGGCTAAGATCAGGGCAAAGGTGCCCGAGCCCCTTTTCCTGTCTCACTTTTCCCCCAGGGGCTTTCAGAGATTTGGGACTTGTTTCCCTGCAGAGCCCGAGGCTCCCTCCTAGGGAAATACGTGTGTGTCCCTGGGGGTTATCACCAGCTCTTCTCCTGCAGCCCCCCCAGCTCCAGGTCCCACATCTCCACGGAGCAGCCCTGAAATATTCCTGGGAGAGGGGAGGGATCCCGGCTGCACATCAACTCGCCTGCACAATCCGGGCTCCAGCCTCGGGGCTATTTTTAGCAGTTCCCTCTAAGATGCTCTTTACTTGCAGTTTTATTTGTGAAACTTAATATACGAGGGAGGGGGGAGGGAGCAGGGCTGGATCCTGGCACGTCCCCACGGGCTGGGAGGTTTATCCCAGCCTCAGCACTGACACAAACCTAAAATCACCTGTCAAAGAGCTGCCATGCCCAGGCATGGAGGCAGCAGCAGGGACAGGCAGGGCTGATGGCTCGGGGGGCTGTGACCAGTTACCACTTCTGCCAGAATCCTTGGGCAAGTCCCTGCCTCTCCCTGTGCCCAGGGCCCTGCCAGGACCTGATGCCAGCCCTTGGCACACACACTGGCACAGGGCAGGATGCATGTGATGCCAGCAGGAGCAGCAGGAGCTTTGGGGAGCCCACCCAGCACACCAGGGCTGGCCCCATCTCCAGCCAGAACTGGAAGGAACAACTTGGGAGGTTCCCTTCCCCACAGCCTCAGGAAGGGGGAAGGCTGTGGGGACCATCCTGGAGCATCACCCATGCAGCCAAGGCTAATGATGCTCATGAAGCAAACCCAGTTTGCAAGGTACATCATTGCCTGGGGGTGGCGTGTCCCCATTTACAGGACATAAGTGTGCCTGCAAATCCAGAGCAGCAGGAAAGACCAGTTTCTCCCCAAGGAGACCTTTGCAGTAGGGGGGGAGGGAGAAACCTTTTTCTTTTACCACAGGACATGAAGCACATGGTGGCTGACCTGGCAGAGGCCCCAGCATCCTGCAGCACTTTTTGTTCCTTCTGGGACAAATGCTGCCCCAGGCTCATCTCCAGCACCACGGCAAGGAACAGATCCATAGCAGGGAACAACCATCCCATCCTCAGCAGTTGGGCTGGTATCCCATCCCAGGCACATCAGGGATGCACAAAGGGACACAACAGCAACACCAGTGACCCCAAAGCAGCCTGGCACTGCTGCTGCTAGACACACACACCAGATTGCAACACAAAAACATCCCTGCACAGGGCACTGCAGCTGATCCAGTACCTGCCACCCCAGGTTCCTGCCTCCAACAGAACAGGAGATGGCAAAGCCCTCTGGAAGATCCCAGCACTGGTCCAGACTTACGGGAAAGCATCACTGATTCCCATCATTTCCTTGCAGGGAAAGCAGGTCACTCTACCTGAACCTCACCTGATGCCAAGAAAGGCAGGACCCACAAAAAGAGGACATCCATCTTCCTCCTGCCCTTCCTTCCTGTGCTGCCCTTGGAGATGAGAACAGAGCAGCAACCAGAGGTAGATGACCAAGGATGTTGCCACCTCCTCCCCAAGCAATCCCCTACTTTGGGGGGGTCTTTGCTGTAGAGCAGAGGCTGGTGGAAAGGACAAAGGGCTCCCAGTGAGCAAACAGCCTCCTTCCCACCAAATCCAGCCTCCAGCCCTGCCTGCTCCTGCCGACAGAGCCAAGGACAGGGGAACAGGATCCTCTCCCCAGCCCCACAGAGCCACACACAGCCAGAGCGTGGTGGAGATGAGTTTATTGACAAGGGAGGGAAGGTAAAGCCTGGAGAGCAACACAACGACGTGGTGAACACTGGAGCCAGCAGGAGGGAACAGCCCTGGGGGAGCTGGGCTCTGCCCACAGCACGGGCACCCACGGGCCTGAGGAGCTGGGAAGAAATCTGGCAAGAGAAAGGGGTGCTCAGCACCCCCTCCCCACGTTGAAGCTACACTGGTGTGTTAGTGGAGGGAGGCTTAAGTGTTTGTTCCTGACCCTCTGCCATCTCCTCCCTGCCCAACACAGCATGGCACTCAGTGCCACGGGTGCTTCCTTAATTGCTCTGTTAATGATTTTTGCCGTGGCTCTGCAGTGCTTGGAGCAAATCACCTCCTAGCACATGTGAACAGGGCTCAAGGGCTGGATTGCTCCAGCTCTGCTCCACTTTTTCCACAGCCAGAGCACATCCAGGGGTTCCTACTCCAGAGAACCACCTTCCTCAGGGTCCTGTGGCTCCCGTGCCATGCTGGAGTCTCTTCCAGGACACTTGATGGTTGCAGGCAGTGCCAAAGCCCTGGTGAACCAGCTCTCACCACAAAACATTCACTGACTTTAAATCTGGCATCTAAAAAGACAACATGGGGGTTGCTATGCACAAGAGCTTTGCTTGCTGGGGAGGAGGTGCCATCAAAGCATGCTGGGCAGGGCAAAGCTGTTCTGTTGGTTTAAGCAGGACAAGCTATGGATAGAGCAAGGACATGCAAAAGGCTTTGCTTTCACTGCTGTTTTCACAGCACTTAGTGGTTGCAACGTGGCAAGTTCACAGCCATGGACTGGAAAGGGAAGCAGCCTTGGCCCTAAGGATGGGTTGGAAAGGGGGGACCAGAGCATGGGGCTGCTCGGGACAGAGGTGAGAGCAGGAACTCGACTGGCCCTTGCTACCCTGTGCCTGTAGGCACAAGGAGCCAACCTGCCAGTGGAAGAAACTCTTCCACCATCTGCTCAACTCTCAGGTCAACCTGAAACCCCTGGGCAGGCAGGGTGCAAACACTACCAAGCCCAAACCCTCCCCCACTGTGGCACAGCCTGGGCTTGAGGGACACTAGGGGAACAGGGAGAGCTGCTTCACTCCCTGGGACACTGCCAGCAGCAGCCCCTCTCCATAAGGATTTACCACTGCATTCCCTGGGGATTGCCTGGATAGCAGAGAGCTGGGTGAAGGTGGCACAGCTGAGGGGATGGCCAAGAAGGCAGTTTGGCCGTGGCAGGCACAGAAAAAACATGAAAAAGAGGGGCTGTGGTTGGGTGAGGATGCAGAGACCATACCTGGAGCTCTGGCAAGAGCCTTTTGCTGTCCCATTACCAATCTAGGTCTGCAACTGCTCCCCATGCAAGAGCAGCCTCGCTTCTTCACTTAGCAGCTAACAAGCCAGAGGGGTGGCTGGAGTGAAAATACACCATCAAAAGCAGAGCTGAGACTGGCAGCACAAGTGTAATAAACCCCCCCCTCTTTAGGACTCCATCCACCTCCAGGGACTTGAACTGATGGCTCTGTCCCTAGCTCCCCAAGGCTGTGCTCACCCTGCTAGAGCCTGGCATCCCTGCAGGGCTCCCAATACTTCCTTAGAACTGCCTTCCCTTTAAGCCAATTATAATAGAAAAACTCAAACAAATAAAAAAAAGGTATAAAAATATAAAGTGCAGTGTTAGGTTTTCGACACTTTTGCCTTGTTTTAATGAGCCAACGTGTGGTTGTTGCTTGTTTTTCAATGAGTGGTGCTTTACAAAACCGTAGCTACGCCTGAAGCCATTTAGAAAACACTGAGCATTGGCACAAGATGGAGAAGCCCAGGAGAGGGAGGAGTGAGGGCCGAGGGGGAGTCACCGAAGCAGTGGTTACAAACTCCACGGACGCTAAAAATATCAAAGGGGTTTTGTTCCCTATCATCATCAGCACGTGAATACTAATTGCTACCTTGTTTAATCAGTGCCTTTGACTGCAATCCTACACATGAATACAGCTGCTTCCAGTCAGGAGGGCTCTTCCCCGCGCCAGGGGTGAAGGAGGACCTGGGGACCTTCCTCCCCGCTCCTCCCGCAGGGCGAGGCACAGGCTGAGCTCCTGTTAGTTCTTCAAGATGGCATCGTAGGCCTGGTAGATGTACTGGGACACTTCGGGAGCTCGGCATTTCAGGGAGAGCTGCAGAGAGGAGAGGAGAGGTCAGTGGTGCAAGGGAAGCCAGAAGCTTTCTACCATCTCCACGAAGGCAACGGGGAATGTCTGAGCTGCAGCTGGGGTGGGACAGGCTCAGACATGGCCCACAAGTTGCCCAGAATGTGTCTCTTTTGGGTTCTGCTTTCTTTGTCACCAAGACCAAACTGCCCTTCAGAGCTTGCTACAAGCAGGAGGTAACTGGAAGCAAACACCCACTGTGGGGTTCCCAAATTCCTTAACACAGACACAGGTGCCTCTGCAGGCCTGAAGGGAAGGGACACTGCCCCAAACCCTGAGACAAGGGTCCTGCTTGTTCTCAGCTTGTAAATCACAGCTGTGAGCCCAGGGGCTTCTAATGATCTGCTGCTCAGTCCTGATGGACACAAACTTGGCTGCTGCTCCTCTCCAAAGCAAGGGTCAGGCTGAGACCAGGCTTGCTCCATCAATCCCTGTGCAAACACTTTAAATCACCTTCCAACACTCTTGAAACTCCTGAACAGCTTCCAACAGGAGATAAATCCTCTAACACTGAGACACTCAGAGACACACGTCCTCAGAAGGGGAACAAAGAGAATGGCTAGAGGGGAGCAGGATGCAGGACAGACTGCACCTTCCCACCAGCTCCAGGCTGGTGCCAGCACCAGGCCAAGGAGGCTGACACCCAGACAGCCGGTCTCTGCTGCAGGAACGTGGCAGGACACACATTTCTCCTTGCACACATTTCTCCTTGCACACATTTTCTCCTTGTTTATGAGGGGGAAGGGCCTCCTGGCAGCACCTTCACGCTAATGTCTTGGCTTTATCTCTGGGTAACCTCAGCCAAGTAACTGCGCGTTGCTGCGCGGGCACCGTCCCAGCTCACTGGAGGCAGAGCAGTGCAGTTCTGTTTTTTCTCACTTTTTC